GCATCATTTTGTTTATATTTTCCTCTGTCTTCTTTTCCTTTTAATCTTTATTAATTGTAATAATAACAGCCAAATTTTGGAGTTACCCCACTTACTTTCCTAGCAAAAATCTCCACTAAAGGACGCTTTCTGAACCTATAACTACACTAATATTTTCAAACATTCGCTTTTTTTCTTATTTTCCTTAGATACGCTAGGATGTAGGTCTATCTTAAAAACTTGTTTCCCACTGGAAAAAGCACACACACACACACACACAGACATGTACGTTCCCAACTTCATTTTACTTCATTTTCTCTACGACTTCTGCACAAATGTTCCATACACTAAGAATTCACTATTATTTAAATATTTTCATGCATGTGCACTGTTTTGTCACATATATACAATATTATTGTCTTTGTCACTCGCAACAATATAACGTTTTGTCTGTTTAAAAATAAATAATCGTTTGCTTGTATATATATTGGTTTTAGCTGTTTGTTGTATTTCCTTACCCGGACTCACATACCGAGTCCGCCATTTTTGTTATGGGATAAACATTCCAGGAGACACGTGTTTCCCAACTCAAACATCAACGTACACAATCCCGAAACAAGTTATTAATTATAGATTTCTGAATGAATAACAACCCCCCACAAAAAAAAAAAGAAAAAAAAAAAGATTATAGATTTATAAAAATCCAGTTTAAATTATAAGTTCTTAGGTATAACTCGTGGATATTCAGGTAATATAGCAGTTATCGGCACGGAACGGGGTATTGGTGTGCCGAATTCATATCCCAAACATAAAATCTGCTTTTTCACAAATACCATAGGAAACTTATGATGTTATTTCTTATATCATTTGAATTTAGGGTTAAATAGTTTGGGTTGGCAACCAGCCTAGGATGAAGATAGTTGAAAACCACCTAACGTGGTGAGGTTACGAAACTTATACACAGCAGAAGAGTCTACAGAGTGCAAAACGGCAATACCTCGCTGATGACTGCTCTCTCATTGAGGACAAAAGAGACAAGGGAAGACAATGAAACGATTGATGAGCCGCTTGTTTGAATGGATGGCGGAAAGACGGGCAGGGGCCTTAGCAAAGGTGGAAAATACAGCTGAGAGACGCCTAAGATAGGATGTTAGAGCACCTCCACGTGGGTTAATGGTTAGCAAGTCTGATTCGCTCGAACAGTTAAGACTGAGTAATGAGATCGATCCTCACTAGGTGCTCCATACATTCGGCCTTGTGCTACATCTAAGATGGGGAGAGCCATGAGCCTATAACGTGAAGGGATGAGGCAAGTCGAAGAAGACAGGCAAACACAACTGTAGGTAAGTATTCTATAAATTATTGTTCATAGTATTTAACCATGTTGTATAGTTTTCGACAGACCGAAACTGAAGAACATAAATCTTTTCTCTGGCGCAGTAGAAAGTCGTTGTTCATTTAAATGTTTCTGCCAACACCATATGTGAACTGTTTGGACGGCACATTGTAAATCTCCTAATTTTTAACATGTTCATCAATCTTACACGTGCATCGTCAACATTTCCCTTAACTTCTTTCTTTTATATTTTTCTTACTTTTTCTCTTTTATATTTCAGGTTGTGTTTTATATTTTCTTTCTTCTTCAACTTCTAGTTTTTTTTTTCCTTTTCATCCTGTTTTCTCTTTTTTTTATTTTTCTTTTCTTCTTTTTTTTTTCGTTGTCGACATTTTATTTCCATTTCTTCTTTCGTTCTTTCATTCCTTGACTTTTTTATTTTATTTAATATTTTCTTTATTTTCAGTTTTAATTCTCTTTTCCTTTCATTTTTTTTTGGTTCATTATTTATTTACGTTTATTTTCCGTGCTTATGTTTTTTTATTTTCTCTGATTTTTTTGTTTTATTATCGTTATCTTTCTGTTTTTCCCTTTCTTGTTGCTTTTTTTTTCAATTCAGTCTTTCTTCTCCTCTGTTTCCTTCTTCTTCTGCCTTTTATCCTTTCTATCATTTCCTTTCCATTGTGCTTTAAGTATTTCCCGATTTTTTCTTTCTTCTCCTTTTCTATTCGGTCTTCACTCACACCTTTTTTGAAACCGTTGCTAAATCACTTCAAATAACAAAAAGATAGGTTCTCAAGAGTATTTGCTTCAGTAAGAAGAAAATAGATTGACAGACAAAAACAAAGCTTGCGATTGGGGAAAACGAAAATCATAATCATGCAAAAAGAGATTGATTGACGCCGTCTCTGTTTTTAAGCTCACCATGAATATTTCTGTTTGAAAATTTGTGCTATATTTTCCATACAATAGAATCACGTAATCTTTTAAAAAAGGATTCTTTTCATGTCTAAGGCAAAACAGATTTTATTGTACTTAACTACACGCACAACTGAATGTATGTTCCAAACTTATTTGAATAAACTTTTGCATATTGATATGTAAATACATACATATGAAATATGCACATACTTTTTGATTATGGTTTATAGATAAGTAGAGTTATAATTTCTTCACTGATTTATTGGAAGAGTCGTCCTCGTGGTTGATGCAGTCGGCAATTTGCTACACTTATTCTGGTGCCTGTCGAATGATTACATTAGTAGCATGGGGGATCTAATCATTTATATGTTATATAGAAACTAATTTACGTATGGATACTGAACTGGTCATTATTACTATCTAGTGATGCGCACCTCTCTGATAGACCGATATTTTGGTTACTGCGTAGAAACTAATCTAAGCTTAGTAAAAACTTAACACACAGACAGAGACATTCACACACACACATAAATATGTATGCGTATATATATATATATATATATATATATATATATATATTGCTTGTAATCTTTAATACTTTATGTATTAACTATAATTGATATTGATAATTTTTTTTTTTTTTAAGCATTTCACCCCAAGCAAGGCGGGAAGCCACTAAGACGCAAGGGGTTACAGAAAATAGCAAGATCAGATAGGAGTGATAGATGAAAGGATGAAGGTAGTAGATAGATAGATTATGGACATTACACTTGAATAGCTGGGGATTATAGCTCACAGGGAAACAGGAGAAGGGAAGAGAGTTCCACAGGCGAGAGGTGCGAGACATGAAGCTATTAGAGTAGAAGAGACGGCTACATTTAGGAGTTTCGACAGTGAAGGGGTGAGAGCGGGATGCCAGCCTTGTAGGGCGCTTGAACTCATGAAGTCTGGGAACCAGCGAATGCAGCTCCTCGGAGCAATTTCCATGAAAGTATTTGTAGAACAGACAGAGGGAGGGGACGGTGCGTCTATGAGAAAGTGATTTCAAATTATGTGCATTTCAAGTTTCAAAGTGAGTTGCCTAAATATGATAACTCAAACTTCCTTCTTCCGTTTCTCCACACTGCTGAACCCTTTCTTTCGTCTTCTTCTTTCCCCACTCGAGTGCTTTATTATTTGTTTCCCCTTTTTTCTTCTTTTCTCGTCCTGTCTAAAAATTATTTAAGAGGTCAAATTGCCTGGCCCTTTAACTGAGTACACTTGAACCTAAGATCGTTTGAAAAAAACAAAAAAACTTACCCCTATTTACATTTCCAAGATGGACCTTTCGATAATCCTTCAACTACCTCTGTCACCTTATATCGATCTAAAACTATCCCTCAAAAGTTGTATAAGAAATAAAAAAAAAAAAATAATTCTTTTGTAACAAAAGATGTGACGTGATGAACCAGGAAAATATATTTTCTGGTAAAATAAATTATAGTCATGGGAACTTAAGGTTGTCTATATCTTAATTATTTTATATATATATATATATATATATATATATATATATGCGTGTGTGTGTGTTATTACTTAATATGTTATTTAAATGGATACCCTTATTTGAAATAATCGCCTCTATTTTATTTTAGACAGTGTGTATCTGCCTGCGCACTTGAGAAAATTTAATAAAGAATAATGTGCACTTCGGCAAGATTCAAAACTGCGTCCGCATTTGGAGTACATAAGCACAATAAAACTTAAAATAACGTCTTTAAATTTAGGTTTAGAATTTTTTTTACAATGATATTAATCCTGTACAACACATGAGATACACTCGAGGTAAAGGGTCACACAGCAAGTTCTTCAGTTTATGCGGATATATTGGGAAGATAACAGCTAACCCGAGACAAGAAAATGTTACGATTGTAGTGATGGGGAAAGCGCCCCCTTGGTAGTTGCTTCCATAATGCAGACGTTACTAGGAACAAGCTGCTCAAGTGGAACTTACATCTCACCAATGGAATACGAAGGGAAAGCCGGTGCTTTCCTACAATTTGCATAGCATGGCGAATTTTAGCAGTGTAGGTTAGAAATGGTCGAACAAACGAATGTAGTTCGTCTGAGCCCTTTCCTAGGAAATGGCGATAAAGCAGCGTTTGGTTTGTGAGAAAGTGTGGTAGGTTAAAAATAATATCTATATGCAAATCAATAGCTGAATTTTTTCGTGCCTGTAAATGATGTTAACGAATATGTCTATTCAGAATATCAGGTGAATATATCTTGAAACGCCATTCGTTTTTGCTATAATTTTATAATTATGGAGAGGAAATTGCTAAGGATTCTGGATTACATTTTTTCAGATGTTAATAGAAATTCTCTAACAATGAATCTTTAGAAATGTGCAAAATCTGAACAGTTTTTTTTTGTTTTTTGTTTACATATATATCATATATAAATAAATAGATATATTATATCCATAAAAGGTTCATCGAAACATCTTTAATATATTCGACGAATCGACGCATTTGAAAATTTATATAATAATAATCTGCAAACATTTTGCGGGTTATTTAAAGCCAAAAATATGTTTTAGATTGTAAGAATTGTTTTGAGATAATAATGGTTCAGTGATAAAAGTATTACTAATTAACCCATAAGTAGAGGAGAAGATGTGAATTCATACCTTTGCGCGTAGGTGAACGAACCCAACGGGAATGGAACTCAGCTCTCCGATTAAAAATTCCGAGCCATTATCCATTACACTATTCGAACATGCAAGCTTACAGCACCTTGTATTCGCAAGCGGTCACTCATCAAATTTCTGACCCGGCGCGATGTTGCTTAAATTTGATGATCGTAAGGGAATCGGCGTTCTAAACTGATGTGACCGTAAGGTCTTTAAGCCACAAATTTTTCCACCTCGCTATTGAATGAATTACGTATTTCTAGTCTGTATCATTGGGCGATATTCATAACCGTATAAATGCTTTGGTGATATTTTCTTGATAAGCAACAAAACATTACTTATTATATTACTTCAGATATTTGTCTATTTGGATTTTTGCTATAGTAAACTAAATATGGCAAAAGAATTAATGCCTCCCCATGGAGCAATGTTAAAAAAAATTCCTGTTCTTCATTACTCCTGAAATGAGTTGAATCCTGGCTATGTTTTTATTCTCGGCAGTGTTTGCTTGTTCATACTAGGAATCTACTCAGTATTCCAGAACTCTCCTCAGTATCCTATCCGCATTTATTGTGCCGTTTCGTTTTTATTCTTCTTTATATTTGCCTTCTTTGCATCTTTAGTTGAGGCGGTTTCAAACCAAGGCTAGCAAACTCAAAACACTTGTGTGTTCGATATATTTACTAAGCTTTTCACTTTAAAAAATTTGTGTGTTATCTGTAGTCAGAACAAAATCCATGAACGACCTTAGCGTATTTAGGTCAATTAGATTTGGTATTCTGGCCAAGATATTTTGTGCTGCCCTAATGAAAGTGACAAAGCATCGTGACATTTATCCACGATAACTGATTCTGGTTCGTGTCCATGTTTTATCTAGTTACTGATTTAATCTATTACACTATTGATTATTATGTTTTAACCCCTATCTTAGTCTTTCTATTCAGTGGTTCCTATCTTTTTTGCGTTGTCGCCATTAATTAGGATTCCATGTCTCACTTAAGATTTACTTTTCCCAACCAAGTCGCTATCGCTTATTTTGCAATTTTTCAAATTGTCTCCTTAAATATCTATTATGACATTTTTGGTTATGCGTTTTGCGGTATTGTATTACTTCTTTCGACTCCTATTAGATTTATTGCAAATTCTTGATATTGTATTTAGTTTATCATCATTCCGTCTCGTGTAGTTATTAAGTCTCTTCTTACCAGAGGTGGCGCCATTTTCATTGCTGTTGAGTTCTTTTCTTTCTACTTTTCTTTTCATTTAGATTCTATTGACTTCATTACTCGAGTTGAAGTCTTCATGTCTTGTCATCATTTTCCTTGTTTCCTGATCATGAATTCCCGATGTTCATTTTGTTCAGTTCCGAATATGCTACAATAAAGAGTTCCCAGGTATTCATTCTTTTGTCCAAATTTCTCATACTGAGTTTAGTTCCTTATGTGTTCCTTGTTATCCCGGGATCTCTTTTGCCAACATTTTCTTTCCTTACATTTCGCTTGATTGAATGACGTTCTAAAATCCCTAATCACTTATAATATTTTTTCCTCCGCATTGGGTGTCATGATATCTGCACTTGATTCATTTTGCCTCTTTTCTTCATTGTTATTCATCAGGATCATTGCCACTCTTCCGTTTCTGAAGTCCAATCTGAAATAAAATATGAAAGTTGCGGGCGGTGATGGTAGCTTCCGCTGCCAGCCTTTTACCTTTTCTATTAAATGTGATTATTCTAATGATATATATCTACGTAGATCTTCAGTTTTATATGCCAGGTCAGATCTTTAAATTTGGAACCATTAAAGCCGGTAAAAATCTATGAAAGCTTAATAATAATAATAATAATAATAATAATAATAATAATAATAATAATCCATGCCTCAAGGAGATACAAAAAATTGTTCTGACAAGTACAGCCCACACATTACGAAGGGCTTTATCTATGCAATATATATATATATATATATATATATATATATATATATATATATATATATATATATATATTGTCAGTGGAAAGTGTCATGATGCCATTTCTAACCTTAGGTCCCTGGCCGGGACCCGGAAAGAAATGTGTAAACGCCAGAAATCAAAGAAAATAGAAGTAATAATAATAGAGACTATCAACTTTTTTTCCTCGATTCTCTTCGTCTGTGTGCCGTGCCCCTTCTGGACGTGGCTGATCATGTTAATTTCTTGTCCTTTATAGCCATTAGTAAAGAAGGTTATTTTCCTATTAACCCTAATCCTTATTCTGCCAACCATCTACGCGATCTCTTTGGGTAGGTTATGGTTTTTTACCCTGGTCTCTCCATTGAGACGGGATGTGACACGATGTCGGTTTGAAGCTGGGGAACCCAAGCACCTACACACGGGTCAAGGACGTAAATAGCTCAGACACCGCAATCCTCTGTTACGTTGACATCATTATAAATACCAATCCACCTTTAGCGCAATTGGGGGCTGCTGTCTCGGTCAGCTGTTCCCCGGAACTGGGTACCTCCGAGGCATAACTGAGAGATGATAAACACTACACGTCTAGTGGCAAGTAAGTTAGGGTAGGTAATACGCAGTTTTCATCTGTACCTCTTACCTTCAATATGGCTTGTGAGTGTCAAATTTTCTCATTATGTGCCCTAGATATTTCAACTGTCTCTTTCTGATTCGATGCATCGTTTTTGTTAACATTTCTTTAAAACTTCTTTGGTATTCTCCGCTTACTTCTGTATAAGCATATTTTTGTGAAGAGATTGTCCAGCATTCACTGCCATATAGGAGTGCCGATACTGTCTAACAGTACATTACTCTTCGTTTTTGCTCTTAATTAAATTTTACAGTTACTTATTACTTTACTTAGCTTTTGCATGGCGTCTCTCCCTATCACAATGCACCTTCGGATTTCGTTGTCTCATTTTCTATTCCCTGTTAAAAGACATCAAAATATTTCTGACGATGCTGGCATTGTCTAATGTATATAAAAATAGGATCTTCTTTTTATTAATTTTTCTTTCTTTTCATCGACTTTAATCTGCTGTGTCCTTTCAAGTCCTGAGCAATCATGACATTCCATTACTTCCTTTTCAATGCAGCTCTTAGTAACGTTTACCATCACATCCACCAACTATTCTGCCATTCATTAACAAAAGCTAGTCAGGTAGGTGGCTTGCTGTTTCCCTCTGTCCATGTTGCATATGATGTGAGTGTTAAATTTTCCAAGCCCTCCTTCCTCATTATGTATCAAAGTAATTTCAACTGCCTCTTTCTGATCCTGAGTATAAGTGTTCTTTTTGTTTCCATTTTTTCTTAAAACTTCTTCATTGCTTCAGCAATCTGTCCTTGGTATTCTCACATTCCTTCTGTAGAGCCAAATTTCTGTTGGCGCAAGAATTTTTTCATCTGTAAAGAAAATGTAAAGTATTTATATAGGTGAATTGTTATCAGACAACATCTCAGCACTCTTCTCTTTCATTCTATCGAGATTTTCCGGTTGCATTAAACACACATCTTTATGTTCGCAATTTGGTGTCACATTTTTCATACCCCGTAAAAACACTTCCTATTTATTCAAAGGGACGGGAATATAATTGTTGTAGCATACTTATGTTGAACTAAAGATTTATTTGTCATAATTTATACAAGAGATTGAAAGGTATTTAGATTTTACAACCGATTTCACAAAGCTTCACAATTGTTTATTATGCGCACCACCTATGACACAGTACACGTCAAGACGGTTGTCCAGATCCTGCAAAACACGTTGTAGCATGTCTTGTGTAACATTCCCCAGCGCCTCCGTGATTCTCTGCTTGAGTTCCTCTAAGCTTGTGCAAAGAGGTGAGATGTTAGCCTATCCTTTCACATAATACCATAGAAAACAATCACAAGTTATCAAATCAGGTGGACGTGGTGTCCAATTTAACAGCACATTGTCATTATCACTGATATTTCCGATTCGTCTTCCTGGTAGATTCTCTTTGAGATAAGTCCGCACATGTGCTTCTTCAGAAGAATGCTGAGAATAACACGGAGCGAAAATGTGAGAAACATAAAATTTAGATAAATGGAAAAAAAAAGGACACTTATTCGTAACATCTAAAAAAGGTAGTTTGAATTTCTAGAGCACATAATGAGGAAAGAAGGCCTGGAAATTTTGATGCTCAGAGGACAGACGGAAGAAAAGAAAACACAGGAAAACGGAGCATGACATATCTAGAGAACTTGAGTAAATGGATGATAGATTGGTTTAGAAGAGATAATCTAATTTACTAAAAGGTACGAAGGACAGGAAATTGTGGAGATCCATGATCGCCAAGAAGCTGAATAGGCACGGCACAGAAAATTATGTGGTTTATATTGACTGTTGTTGGAAATCACGTGACAGCATGTTTTGTTTCCAGGGTTGTTAAAAGTGCACTAATAATGATGGATATAATTTTCGTCCACACATGCAACAATATAGTCAGACGTTTGACGTGATGAAGATAATTAGTTCAGATTTTCATATCCAATAGCATATACCATAAAATAGATGAGAATATGTTATTTGTTGAAACACCGGTACCTGTACGATCACCGAAGTTAAGCAGCTAAGAACCAGGACAGAACCTAGATGGGTGACCGTTTAGCAATATCAAGTGTTGGAAATAATTGATAAGGAAAATCAAATCCCGCCTCTATCATAAGGATATTTACATTCTTACAGATAAAGAGATATACTTATGTATTGCATTGGCAATTTAATTCTGATGGCGTTTAATCTTCACTAAAATCATTTAAAATAAGTAACCGGCTTATATTTCTTTCTAATTCTTAAAATTACGTTTCACACCTTAGATATATATATGTATGTATCTAAAACAGAACAACTTAAAAGTTATAAGATTTTGTAAATCTTTTTTTGACACGAGGTGTTACAATTTAATTCATATTATGAACACAACTTATACGTGGATTAATGAGTCAGGGAAAAATTACACTCGGGCATGTGCGAAATTCGACTCTCTTTAGATGCAAACTAGAAAGTGTCATTGGTTGCCGAGCAGTAGAGGGAGATATATGTGTTCTTGCTCTACCGTTCACAGAAAATGGGCGAAAGAAATTTGGAGTACCGCATTAATAGCATGTTTGGTGTGAAAATTGGTCAAATTGGTAGTGAAAGGTTTCTGCCGATCGAAATGACTTATAGTTAATATGATCAAGATTTCAA